TTGAAAACCCTATTCATCAAATCCATAAAGAGAGCCGGAGCATTAGTCAACCCGAAAGACATCACCACAAACTCATAGTGCCCATACCTAGTACGAAAGGCCGTCTTGAAAATATCACACTCCCTCACCTTCACTTGATGATACCCTGACCGAAGATCAATCTTAGAGAAGTGACTAGCCCCATGCAATTGGTCAAATAAATCGTCAATCCTTGGAAGAGGATACCTATTCTTGACGGTGACCCTATTAAGTTGTCGATAATCAATACACATTCTAAGAGACCCATCTTTCTTCTTCACAAACAAAACCGGAGCACCCCAGGGAGAATGACTAGGTCTAATAAACCCCTTCTCTAACAAATCTTTTAATTTCTCTTTCAACTCTTTCAACTCCGCCGGGGCCATACGGTAAGGGGGGATAGAAATAGGTTGAGTATCGAGAAGGAGGTCTATACCAAGATCTATCTCCCTTTCGGGAGGGACACCGGGAAGGTCTTCTGGGAAGACATCTAGAAACTCATTAACAACCGGAATAGACTCAATAGGAGGGACTTTAGACTCCACATCAATGACTCTCACAATATGGTACAAGTACCCTTTGGAAATCAACCTATGGGCTTTAATGCAAGAAATGAATTTCCCCTTCACCACAACATCCCGGCTCTCCCACTCAAGGACGGGTTCATTAGGAAATCGAAACTTGACTTTACGAGTCCTACAATCAATAGAAGCATAATATGCATGCAACCAATCCATCCCAAGAATAACATCAAAATCCACCATATTCAACTCAACAAGATCGCAAGGCAACAACTTATTCAATATGCAAACCGGACAATTTCTATACACTTTTCTAGCAACAATAGAGACACCAATGGGAGTAGATACTTCATATGACTCATGCAACAATTCCGACTCGACGTGAAATTTTCTAGCAACTAAGGGGTAAGAAAGGAAAGGGTGGCACCCGGATCAATCAAAGTATAAACATCAAGATCAAAGATTTGCAACATACCGGTCACCACATCCGGGGTCTCATTAACACCTTGTCTACCATGCAAAGCATAAAATCGATTGTCCCTTGGGGCACCACTTTGAGAAGCACCTCTACCCAAAGGAGTAGTGTTAGCACTTCGGACCTTGTTGCGGATCTTGGGACACTCAAACCTCTTATGACCCACTTCTCCACATTCAAAGCAAGCACCCGAACCCTTCATGCAAGGACCACCATGCTTCCTCCCACACTTAGGGCATACATCCATAGAACCCACTTCACCTCCCCCTTGAGGTCTAGGAACATTGATAGCAAATCCCCGGTTGACATGAGGGTTTCCTCGGCCTTGATGAAATCTAGCACCCTTAGGGAACCTATTCTCCAATTGGGTCCTCTTGGCCTCGTGCCCCCTTTTCTTCCTCAATTTCTCCTCCTCCATTTGCTCGGCATAAGTCATCAACCGAGACAAATCCATTCCAATGAGCATAGCGGACCGACACTCCTCACTAACCAAGTCGGATACACCCATCACAAATTTGTTCATCTTCGACCTAGAGTCGGCCACCAAGTGAGGTGCATACTTGGAGAGTTGGACAAATTTGAGGGCATACTCCCTCATACTCATAGCTCCTTGCTTCAAGTTCATGAACTCCACCAACTTTGCCTCCCTAAGCTCAAGAGGGAAGAACCTATTAAGGAAAGCAAGTTTAAACTCCTCCCACAACACCGCATAGCCATTACCTTTCTCACCCTTCCATTGATCAAACCAAATTTGAGCAACCCCCTTGAGTTGGTAGGCCGCCAATTCCGCCTTCTCACAAGCACCAATATCCATAATGGTCAAGATTTTGCATACCTCATCGATGAACTCTTGCGGGTCCTCATCCACCTTTGAACCATGGAAGATCGGAGGGTTCATCCTCATGAAATCTCTCACCCTTTCCCCCGGGGTGGTAGTTCGAGGAGCTTGGGGTCCTTGTTGCACTTGGTTAGCTACCACTTGTGCAAGCATGGTGAGTGCATCACGGAGCTCACCATTGGTGGGTGGCTCTTCCGGTGATCGGGCCCGTCTTCCCCTCATGTTTTGCATGATGATCTAGCAATCCAAAGAACAAGCGTTAGGGAGGAATCACCTTATCGCACTCTAAGCACGACATAGAACATGAAGAAGGGAAACCTTTCCTAAAACGTTTTGTAGCCTCCCATTCATAGTCGTGGCGCGCTTCACAACCATGATTAGGACTCTACTCAACGCAGTGTGTTGGACTCCGAGGATTTAACAACCTGGCTCTGATACCAAGCTTGTCACGACCCAAGCCTAGGGGCTAGACGTGACATGGCGAATGAGGAACCCGAAGGAACCCCAAACAAGCCTCTCAAACTTGTCATCACACTTCATCGGTCGCGGAAGTACATTCAACATTAATTAACGGGAAATAGGGACTAAGGGCAAACCATTTCAAAATGACATCATAAAACAAGAGTCAAGCTCATTTACAAAATACTTGTCCAACGCACACCTCTACATACATAGATAGGACGGGGCCATGACATACTACCGGCTCCCCTCATAGTCAAAATACAATTGCAAGCTAAAGTCTCAAACCATAGGAGTAGGAAACATAACATAGCCCTTGAATCATTGAGGACTCACCAACAACTCGGATAAGCACCGTACTAGCCACGTGAATGGAGAGAAGGATCAAGAGTAGCTCCGGTCCCTACATGGTGACATAATGTAGGCAAAATATGCGTTAGTACTTAGAATGTACTAAGTATGCGGGGTGCAACACAACAATAGACAAGGACACAATCGAAATACAAGAAATAGTTTCATAGGCATTATGAATAACAATATGAGGATGCATAATCAAAGTGAAGTCAAAACATGTTTAAGTAAATCTATACTAATAGTAGATATCATATGTGTATGAATGATCCAACCAATTATAACCCCAACTTAGGATGGGGGATGCCGTTCACACCCGGACACCCTGGTGGCAAGGTATAAACCCCTCACATGGTTGATGTTGGTCACACCCCAAGCATCCTAGGTGGTGAGATATAAACCTCTCACATGGTTGATGTTGGTCACACCCCAAGCATCCTAGGTGGTGAGATATAAACCTCTCACATGGTTGTCCGGTTCTTTTCCCCCGGACCGGGCATGGTCATGCAACACTTTATATAGGAAATTCCCATTAGGCTCTAATGCAATCTCACGTATGGAATGAACATATACACAAGCTTAGTTTGTCATCAACACATCTCTGGATTTCCATACATCTCATAGCTCAAGCTTTAAAGCATCGATTCATCAATTCTCCATAGTTGGACATTTTGTCAAACACCTTGAAGGCATGTAATGGAATCAAAGAGCATGGAAAATAGGGTAGTAATTATGCAGCCAAACCAGTGAACAACCTACAACAACACCTTTTTAACACCCACAATACCACATGAAAATCTCCACATCCATTCCAAATTTAGGTTCAAGTTCTAGAGTCACAACATGCTCAAAACAATCACTTTTCATGTTTAAAATTCAATGTGCAGGAAATTATTACAAAAAACAAGACTAATTTATGAATCTTAACTTAAATAATGAATTAGTGAGTAGAATAGAGTCTAGGCACTATGGGTGGAAGGACCCATGAGTTCAACACCACATATCTTGAGTTTTTATGAAGGTCTTGAGAGTGTCTTCAATGGAAGCTTGGAACTTGGAGCAAGAGTCTCTTCAATCTTGAGGAAGGTTTTGGATTAGGGTCCTTGAGAGAACTTGAGAGAAAATGTGTCTAAGTATGGGAGAGGTGTTTTGGGAAATGTTTTAGAGATGGGAATTGAACTAATGGTATATAGGAAATAACATATGCCCTTTGGAAAAATGGTCCAACACTTAGAAAAAAAATGAGGCGGGTGAACAGTAAAAACGCTCACTGGAAATTGCCTTTCCTGTCGGACAGATTTTACGAAAATGGGCATAACTTCTTCGTCCGAACGAGGTGAAACGAAGTGCGTTAGGTAGCTAACTCAAAGGGCTTTCCATGGATATGTTATTGGCCACCCAATAATTTGTGTGCTAGGAGATATGACCCTCCAAAGTAGACCCTCGAAAAAGGCTTCACTTGGAAATTTCGGATTTTGATACGGTTGCTCTAAAATTTGGGTTAGACCCATTTCCCACTCAATTTGACCCCCGAAACAAGAATATGAAGTCGGATTTCCGAAAAACAAAACGGATTTTTTTTTATATAGCTAATCAAGTTTCCGGTAACTTCCGAAGCACATTTTTAAGAACTTTTTGGGTCATTTCAACCCTCTACTATTGCCCCTTTTGCATTTTTTCGATTACGATCAAGCCCCTTGAAGTCACACATAGTTATTTCAGTAGAATACATCCAACACAAATGAGTCGGGCCTCCAAGCTTAATTTCATCCACTAAATGGATAGGCAAATGTGTCATTATATCAAAAAAGGATGGAGGAAAAATCTTTTCAAGGTCACATTCTATATCTATGATTTCAGCCTTCAGCTTATCAAGATCGCTTCTTCTTATAGCCTTACTAACATATGGCTCTAAAATAATTCCCCAACCTTATTAAGACCGAAGACACATTCTTGGGCAACACTTTTCTGACAGCAACCTGGATCAAGTAATGTAATATGAAATGAGCATCATGGCTTTTGTATCCTGATACTTTCATATCTTCAATTTGCACACGACTTGATATATTAGAGGCAAATCCTTTTGGTAATTTGGCATCTTTTAAAACAGAGCAAAATAACCTTTTCTCCTCTAGTTTCATAGAGAAATAAGCTTTAGCCAAATGGATATTTCCAATATCACAATCTTTTACCGGTTGAAGCTCTTTGCGTATCCCCATCTCATGTAAGTCATAGCGAGAATTTATATGATCTTTGGACTTTCCAAGTATATCCAATAAAGTCCCAAGCAAACTGTCACAAATATTTTTCTCTATGTGTATCACATCAAGATTATGCCTCAATTTGTTTGTTGCCCAATACGGCAACTCAAAAAATATGGATTTTTTTTCCATGGACTATCATTCTTTCGTTTTCTTTTCTTTTGGCCCTTTCCAAAAACATTATTGAATTCACGAAGTTCTTCAAGAACTTGTACGCCTGATAAGGGAGTAGGTGCAACTTTATGCTCCTCTTTACCATTAAAGGATTTTTTATCTCTTCTATATGGATGATCATGAGGAAAAAATGCTCGATGACCCAAATAACACATCTTATGACTATGTTTGAGATATTGGGAATAACTATTATGATTACAAGTGGGGCGTGCCCATTTCCCTTTGGTACTCCATCTGGAAAGCATTGCCAATGCTGGAAAATCACTAATTGTCCACAATAAAGCTGCACGCATCATAAATGCTTGATTAGTTACAATATCATATGTTTCCACTCCACTTCCCATAGTTCCTTCAACTCTGCAATCAGTGGTTGTAATTATACATCAATATCATTTCCAGGAGATGATGAACTTGGAATAATCTTTGACAACATTATATACTCCGGTTTCATGCAAATCCATAGTGATAAGCTATAATTCATCAACATAACTGGCCATGTGCTATGAGAAATGCTCATAGTTCGAAATGGATTAAAACCATCACTTGAAAGACCCAATCTAACATTATGAGCATCACTAGCAAAGTCAGGGTGCAATGAATCAAAATCCTTCCAAGCTTCCCCATCAGCAGGATGTCTTAAATTTCCATCTTTGGGTCGTTCAGTATCATGCCATCTCATAGCAATAGATGTTTCAGAACACATGCATATCCTCTGAAGCCTAGGCTTTAAAGAAAAGTACCTTAAAACCTTTGCTGCAATTTTAGTGACCTTATTAGTCAAGTCATCACGAACATTCTTTCATCTAGAAGATTCACACACTGAGCACTTGTCTAACTTTGCAGTGTCATTCCATAATAACATGCAATCGTTAGTACTTGCATGAATTTTTTCATAATGAAGACCTAAATCTTTTATCACCTTTTTTTCCTTGTAGAAAGACTCATGTATCTGAGCAAAGGGAAATGCCTCTTTTATCAAGTCTAACAAATCTGAAAAGGCTACATTACTCAACTTGTGAATACATTTAAACAAGTATAACCGAATGGTGAAATTCAACTTAGAAACGTTCTTACACCCCGGATATAACTCTTGCTTCCCTTCTTCCACTAACTTAAAGAATCTCTTTGCATCTTCAGATAGTCCCTTTCTTACTCCTTCATGCCTCAAGTCATCTGTGACATTTCTAAAAGTATCTTGAAGTAGTTTATCAATACCGTCTTGCCTGTCGAAATTTTCATTATCATTGGTTGGATGTGGAATATTTCTTGAGGAAAACCCTTCTCCATGGAAAACCCATTTGGTGTATCCATGAACCAATCCATGACAAATCAAGTGATCCTCCACCACATTTCGACAATGCCAATAACAGTTAAAGCACTTCTTACAAGGACATAATATTTCATCTTCTTGGGAAGCTCGTTCAAATGCCTTATCTAGGAAATCATTAACTCCATGGGTATACTCATCGGTGGATCTTCGGAGATCCATCCAACTTTTATCTCCAACATCCATTAAATATCCTATGTTACATGAGCAAAACATTAAAGAAAACAATTCATTAGTACAAGCAGTATCAAGAGAACTTTACCTTTCAAAGTTTCAAGATATTCTTTACCTTTTTGTTTCTAACAAAATCACGATTGTAAATGATCTAATTTAGGTCATTACGTAATTGAAATTTAGTTACATAACCTATATTTTACTTGATAGTTTAATTCCTCAATTTATTCTATAGTACATTGCAGGTATTTCTTTACTACACAGAAGAAGAATGATTATAGATAATAAGGTAAAAGCCATTCACAAAAATGGTAGAAAATGTCCTGATGAGATCATTTTAGATCACTTTAAACTATTAACCAAACAACAACACATATAAAAGTATCCCAAGGTAGTATTGATCCTAGATCTAATGAACAATAATAGAATAAATCTAGTGACTTGTCTATTGAGTGGTTTTTAACAATTAGAGTCTTATCTTTTATCATCTTTTAAAGATTTTATTTATTAGATGTTATGTTACCTTTTCAAAAGTATATATATTATTTAAAATAAGCACCCAATTCTAGATATTATTTGAAATGTGAGGTATCTTATTTTCCTGAAATAAAATTTTGAATGCCATCAAATTATAAATGGCAGATTGATATCACAGGGGACACAACATCTTGACTGCATCTGCTACATATTCAGTCACAACAACTACAATAATAATCGGTGAACTCACTAGATTGAGGAAAGGAGAAATGATCTGGAACACTAGTATGCTCGATAGACAAAGAGTTATATTATGCTTGGCCTTTTCAGAACAAGCTGCTAGCAAAGTTTCCACAACAAAATAAAATGTTCCAATTAAAGGGGATGTGAAGTTTCTATCCCTTGGAGGACAGAGATGTCGAAAACGTACTTCTCATCATTCATAAACCTAGAGAAATAACTAGAGTCATAAAGTGATTAAACAAATGCACACATTGCCGTTTGCCAGAACATGAAAGCTTAGGATCATGAAATTTTTCCAGCACATAAACAAACATACTAGAACAGTCATTAAGTAGATACTATAAAAAAGTAAAAGAGATAACATGAGTAATAGGTTTCAACATCCAAAATCCAATAGAATGGAGTTTTCACCAACTATTTTATATATATTCCCCATCAGTTAAAAAAAATGTTTTGTTCAACTTAACTTATCATCTATGACAGTAGCTATATCAGTAAACTTTGGAAACATTCATAATGATATGAAAATTAATAATACCTTCAAACTTTCGACCAATGGGAAATTTTAGTTCACATAGATAGACCAAACTCAAAATGCAAATCAAAATACTAAAAGCGCTAGGACAAAATCAACTACAAAACAACAGTTGTTTCATAAAAACGAAACCCAGCTTTTCAATGATTTTTTCACAGAGTTATCAAATCTTCACAAAATTTGAGTTACAAAGTCTAAACTACAAATGGATTATATCAAATAGACCTAAATCAGAACAAATAACAAACATTTCAACAAACCCATTTGTTATTCTTTAAGATTTTTTTGGAAGCCCTTCAATGAAATTTCTGATTTTGGAAAATAGTACATGTATAACAAAATAGAGTCAATGAGGACTTAGAAATCACCTTAAGAATAGTACACCTTTATATGCAGAAGCTTAATATTGAAGAAGACTACTTTTGGAGAAGAAGACCACTGAAGATGAACACTTCACACCGGAGAAGAAGACAACTGTAGGAGAAGGAACTGATTCTTAATCGAAGCTCCAAGTTTACTGTCGAAGAAGACCACTGTAGGAGTCACCGGAGTTATAGAATTTTAGGGCAAACTCGTGCTTTTGCTGTCAACGAAGACCACTGTTGGAGTCACCAGAGTTCTGGAATTTTAGGGAAAACTCGTGCTTTTGCTGTCGAAGAAGACCAGTGTAAGAGTCACCGGAGTTCTGGAATTTTAGGGCTAACTCATGCTTTGATTTTGATTATTAGAGAAATGAAATGGGTATTTGGGAATGTATTTTGAGCTCTTATTTCACTGAAATAAGAAAAGTGCGGGTCAACTAAATTTGTGGAGAGAAATTAATTTTTTACACATAAAATTCGTGGATTTGGCAAAATTTTTTTACTTTTCACTTAAACGAACCGTTGCCACAAAAGGTTTTTTTTCCACGGTTAATAAGTATGTGGCCATAGATAACCTATAGAGACGATTATATAGATGATGCCATGGTTTATATTAAAAAATTTTCTATTAGATCTAAGCATATATCCCAACGGTCATAATTGTTGCAACACATACTCTATTGCCACGGTTGTGAAATTTTTGTTGAATAAGCGTTGCATTAGGTCAAATTTCTAGTAGTTAATGGAGGTTCTTAGTGAGAGAATTTTTGGGGGTCAAGTTAGTTATGGTTTGGGGTCTTGGGGATTATGAAGTTAATAGGTAAGTGAATGGTTTAAAACACCTTATATAAGTATATTAAAATGAATTAAAACGAATCCACAATAAATTAATTAAAATAGGAATTTACCTTAAGACCCCTAAACTTAACAGATTTGGATAGCTTGCAGGGGTGACCTACGGCCACCACCTATGGGGTGTAGGTCAGCTCACGCCCGGTACTGGTGGTGCGTAGGTTGAACCTGCATGTCATAAGTTGCCCCCTTGATCCACGATCCACTCCTACAGAGCATGGGCCACCCTACGGGGCATAGGTCCCTCTGTGGGTCATACATTTTTGGGCAGATTTTTTGGAACTTGGCAGCCTTGGGGTCTAGACTTTAGGGTCCTCCTCAAGGACCCTTGGTTGGTCCTTGGGGGGTCATACCTTGACGTTTAAACCCTAAACACCTCAACCTAAGATCGGGAACTCGTTTTACAACCTTAACCCTCACATCAAACTCAAAAACCCTCACGTAAGGCTCTAGTGGCACATACTAAGTTTAGGGGGCATAACACCCTTTGCAGCTGCATTTGTTTGATTTGTGTTGTTTTGTGGATATGTCTACACCTAAGGTTCTTGGAAAGGGTCTAGCACCTTGAAAAAAAATGGGTTGGTCATTTCTACGGAGGTTACCCCCAAGATCAACGCGACCAAAACTTTTTCTGATAGGGAGGAAGGGTACAGACATGGGAAAAACATTTGTGGAGCTGAGTTCGAGCAGTTCCAGCTGCGACAACATGGGTGTCTAGTTCACCCACCTCACTACATCATAGTCTGACAGTGAGGAAGAGGTTGGGTCTAGAACTCTGGACTATGAGTCCGGACCAATAGATGATCAGACCCTTAGGAGGAGAGGGTCTGAATCGCGCTCCAAAGCACTTCAGGATCCTGTAAGACTCCTGGTACTCCCAACTCCTCCACGACCACCAGCATAGGCAACAGTCCAGGCACCACAAGTTCCCCAAACCCATGCACCTCCGCCACACTCTATGAATAGGTTAAAGGCTTCTAGTTTGAGAGCAATTCTTGAGGAAAAGAGGTTGTCAACTGATGGCATAGTGGATAGGTACCCAACTATGTGGGACACAATTTGTTTCCAAAAATTTGAGCAGTTTACACAACCCTGAAGTCCATATGTACCATCTTAAGTTAGAATGTTTTATGAGGGGTACATGCAATTGTTCGCAAAAAGCCAGAAGAATGCGAGTCTTTCACACCAATTGGTTATGTTGAGGTGCGGGGTAATAAGGTGAAGTTTGACTACTCTTAACATAAATGAAGTGTTGGGTTGCACATTTGAAACAATCTATTTCATGGCTGACAAAATCCAAATGAAGACTCTTGATAATCTTAAGGATGGGTGTATCCCTTGATCTCCGATACTATAACTCTGTGGATTGAGCCTGGGGTCCAGGTTGAGAAGAAGGTCTTGTACATCACTACTAGATACTAGTTTGGGTTCATCAGCAACACACACATGTCCTCGCAAAATGAGTCTATGCTCCATCACCCAAAGAAAGCTTTGTTTGGGTGTATTATTGACCGGAATAGCCTGAATCTCATGTTGATTATTGAGAAGAAGATGCCCATGAGGGCCAAGTAGAGAAAAACCTCTCTACTATTCTCGATGCTTTTCACACAGTTATGCCGAAGAGTTAGTGTGTCATTAGTGGCAAAGACTGATGTGGAAGTGACTCCCACTTCCTATAATGACATCAAGAGGATTGAGGCAAAATACACTACAGATGAGGCTGAGCGAAGGAAGACAACCCCGATGGATACATCCCCGGCTGTAGATGTCGACACTATCGAGAAGGACACTACCCCTTATATTTCGGCCAGTGAGCCGTCAGGTATGCCTAGTTCCTCCTCTGTGCTACTCCTACTGCACTGCTACCTCCCTCCCCTTATTGACTCAGGACATGATATATAATATGGGCCACCTTGCCCATTCAGCCAACGTACGAGCTTTGAGGGTTTAGGTAGCTTTTTTGGTTGGATAGAGTGAGCTATAGCTGCAACTTTAGTTCCTATTCGGGAGGATCTAAGGGAACAATGTGATTTTATTATGTTGCATGGCTTAGCATTGGATGCACACACCATGCGGGTTGATGTTGGTGAGAAAGGTGGTCGACAGTCAAAAGATGTGACAACCTTGAAGGCTGATGTGCTGGGTTGAGGCATGAGGTGAACAAGTTTACGTCCACTTACATATCTATGCTCTAGGAAAATGTGAAGATTCATCAGGGCTCTAGTTCAGATGTTCTAGTTATTTCTGAAATCCTTCTACTATTGTGACCGGAGATGCTGCCTTAGCTAATGATGGTGAGGAGTAGGATGCGCCGGAGAGTGATGAGGAGGAGTTAAAAACTTGAGAGGAGGTATTATATGAGTACTTGGTGGATATTGAGGGTGATCTAGTCCAAGAAGCTACATAGGCCTCACTTTGAGACACCTCGATGATTGGCCTCAACAGAGAGTCGGGTACTGATACCTAGACTGAGAAGGCCCGAGACACACAACATTCTCCTCAGGCTTAGCCTGATAGGGAGATGTTGACTCTCTTAATGTTTT